CAACCCTGCTGTTGAAAGACATGTTGTATTGTCATCTGTGTTTGAACAGCTTCGTCGTCAAATGCTTTCGAAATCAATGGCGTCGTACGGATTTCGACACGCGCGCGTGGCGGCGCACGCGTGGCCCGCATGATATTATGTGATGCATATTCGCGTACTGGGCGCATGCTAACGCGGATGGACCGCGTAACATGAGAATGCGGATTCTGGACACGGGGGCGAACATCAGATGGTGTTCCCATGATGTCTGCGCGCGCGGGCGGAGAATTGGCAAGATGCGTGGTGAACAACTTGATGATGTCGGTTGCTTTATGCTGAAAGGCTGGCCCAATGTGTGTTTTGTATGACGTCGGCATGTGCGCGTGGGTGGGCGGTGCGCCAAGTTCTGCAAGCCCAAAGGGCACCAACAACAAACCAAAGGGGCACCGAAAACCCACATCACCATCATCGCCATCATGACAATGATCATGATCATGTTCATGCTGATGGTGATGATGATGATAATGCTATGATGGTCCTCACCATCCTCATCGCCACAGCCACAGCCACTACCAGCATAACCATCATCACATACATCATCATGCGTCGTCACCCTCCCCCGTTTTTTCCTCTTTCTCCCCTCTTCCTCCTCCTCCTCATCATCACCACCACCGCCATCACCACCACCACCACCATCAACATCACCATCACCAGCATAATCAGCATCATAACCATCATCATCATCAGCATACTCATCACCATCAGCATCATCATCATCATCATCATCATCATCATCATCATCATCATGAGCATGAGCATGAGCATCATCATCATCATCATCATCATCATCATCATCATCATCATCATCATCATCATCATCATCATCATCATCATCATCATATTCATCACCATCATCACCAGCATCATCACCACAATCACCTTCACCATCACTATCACCAGCACCCCGCACCAGCATCAGCATCAGCACCAGCACCAGCACCAGCACCAGCATCAGCAGCATCAGCAGCATCAGCATCAGCATCATCAACATCATCAGCATCACCATCATCATCTTCATCATATTCATCATCTTCATCGTCTGCATCATCATTCTAATCAATCATATCCTTCCTCCTCCTCCGCCCTGTCCGCCGGCGACCATGCCGACGAGGAACGACAAGGGCGACGACGACAGCTGGCGGCTCGGATGTAGGGGCATGTTCCACCCCTCTTCCACGCAAGTATTTTCACGCTTGAGAAATACGGGACTTGCAAGTCGGATCTCTCGCATGCGGCCCCGTCGTGGCAAAAGGCATGCGAAAACACGCGCTCCGCGCGCACGCACCAGGCGCGTGTTGTGCTCACTCCTCCGATGGCCTCCCCCCCGCGCACGTAATCCCACCAGCTCTCTGGGCGTAGATAGTTAAACGAGTTGTGCCTTCTCTCTGCCCAAACCCCCTCCTTCCACTGCTCGGGGGGGTTACCCCTCCCCCGACCCCCTCCCCTGGGCCTGGAAAGAGGGGGAAAGGAAGGGTTAGACCGTCCATGATGGCCCAAGATGGCTCCAAGAGGGTTTTCAAAGAGTCCACGATGGCCTCTAAGATAGCTCGAGATACCCCAAGATGGTTCAAGATAACCTCCGACAAACACCCAAGAGCCATCACGACGACCCCAAAGCTGGTTTCCAGTGCCCTCCGAGCCCTCGCCGGACCCCTCAAGCTGGCAAAATGGCTCCCAATCCGAAGGACAATCAATGTTGTTTGCCTTCTCGACTTTTCGCTCCCGATGCGCTCGTGAGGCCTTGCGATGGCTCCAAGACGGCCCAAGAGAGCCCCAAGAGTGGCCCAAGAGGGCGTCGATGGGGGCCCCTGGAGCGCCCAGGAGCGTCCCAAGATGCGATGTTTGAGCCTCCGAGGGGGGGGGGGGGGGGGCTGAATTGAGGCCCCCCCCCTCAATTTGAGCAGTGTGCCCAACATTGCCCCCCGGGGCCTCCCATACCCCTCCGAAGCGCCGATAGACCCCCAAAAGAACTCCGAGATGGCCCCAAGAGTGCCCCAAGTGACTCCGCGAGGACCTTTAAAGAGACCCAAGATCGTTCCAAGAGACCTCCGGGGAGACACTTCCCAGGCGGTTGTTAAACGGCATGCTTCTGCACTTCCCTGGTCAAGGCTCAGGGCAACTCGCCTGGCGATCTGTTTATGGATGGGCTGGTGGGGATACTTTTTGATCGCGACCACGAGCGGACACCCGCGCGGCGTCACAGAGTCGTGCAGAAAAGCGGGGGGCGGCTACGCCGAGCCGGCTACACGGCACCGCGAACGCAGCAGAAGGGGGCGGAACGACGAGGAAAGCAAAGAGCAAGAGCACGGCCGGTGGGGATACGCAAAAAGTCAAGACTTTCGCATGCAAAGAATTCGCCATCCATAGGTTGGGCCCCCTGGGCCCCGTGGACACGTCGAAACACGTGCCCCGCGCGCGCGCGCCAGGGGCATGTTGCCCCCCCTCCGAGCAGGGATGATCTCGTGCCAAACAGATCACGGGGCCCATCGCTTGCGGCCCCGCCGAAGCCCGAAACACGTGAGAACACGTGATCCGTGCGCACGCGCCACCCTCATGTTGAGCCCCCATCCGTTCCCCCTCCCCCCCCCTCCGCCGGCGTATTTCTACATGTTGAAAAATTCGCCAGCCAATTGGGTCCCAACGGGGCCCCGCGGACACGAGAAAGCACGTGTCCCGCGCGCACGCGCCAGGGTTATGTTGGGCCCCCCCCCTTCGCGCACGCATATGTACACGCAAAGAATTCGTCGCCCGCAAGTTGGGCCCCTCGCTTGCGGCCCCGACGCGTGAAAACACTGGCTCCGTGCGCACGCGCAAGGTGCATCATCATGTTGGGCCGCGCACGTGAATCTACATGGCAATAATTCACCACCCCCCAGCAAGTTGAGTTTTCCAGGGGCCCCGTGGACACGTGAAAACACTTGCCCCCGCGCGCGCGCCGGGGCCCCCCCTACGCGCACGCAGTTGCACGTGCAAAGAATTCGCCACCTGCAGATTGGGTCCCTCGCTCTCGGCCCCATCGAGGCCCGAAACACGTGGAAACATTCGTTCCTCGCGCGCGCGCCAGGCGCATGTTGGGCCCCCTTTTGCAAAACCCCCGACTGCGTTAGGAGAGAAGCGGGACGGAAAGGTAGCTTCCGAAACGCCCCCTCCTTGCATAGGCATGCCCGGGGCGAATATTCGGCCCCGGAAGCGACCAAAAGGAAGGCGCACCTTCGAACCCCCTCCGCTGGCAACGAACTCCCGGCTGCGAAAGGTGGAAGGAGGCGGGTGGGGTGCTTCCGAGGCCCTCCCCCCTTTGAAAGGGAAGCCCAGGCTGGCCTTGGGCTCCGGAAAAGGAGGGAGGTGTTGGAATAGCTTTGAAGCCCCCCCCCTGGCAAGGCAATCTCAGCTGCGAAAGGGTGGAGGGGGGTAGCTTCCGAAGCCCCCGATCCCCTTTGAAAGGGGAGCTCCAGAAGAGGAGGGAGGGCGGAGGTATCTTTGAAGCCCCCTCCCCTTGGCAAGGCGATCTCAGCTGCGGAAAGGAGGGAGGGGGTAGCTTCCAAAGCCCCCCTCCTTTGAAAGGGGGGCCCGGGCTGACCTAGGGCTCCAGAAAAGGAGGGGGGTGTAGCTTTGACCCCCCCCTTAGCTGGAGCCCCTCTAGCTCCAAATTGCACACGGGAGAAAGGAAGGGGGGGTAGCTTCGGAAGCCGTCCCCCTTTTCCAAGGGTGGGTAGCTTCAAACTAGGGCCCCTCTCTTAGTGGGAAGTGTGCGACGGGCGCGTTCTTGCATAGGTTTTGTCATGAGCCTCTTGAAGGGCCTCTTGGGTATCATTGCATAGCGTAGGACACGGTGGCGTAGCACAGCATGAGGCAACAGTGCAACGCAGAGCATAGCAACGTATATCAGTAAGCTGACTGGCACGACCTATCGTTACTGCACATGGCATGGCGCAGCACCGCATTGCATATCACAGAGTACCACGTAACCATCTCACACACGTGGCAGGCGCTGCATTGGAAGGTCTCCGAATGAGGAGTGATGAAACAATATCTTTAGAGTATCTCGTCGAGGAAGTGGTGGAAGTAGGAGAAATCATGCTTCCCTCCATGACCCCCGGTAGGGGGACAAGAACCTCTCGGCACTAAAAGAAAACACTGCATTCGGAGATCACCACAGACTTCCTGGATCGGCACTGGACCCCCTCCTCGGCAGGGCGGCGCCGGAGGGTCCCAGCGCCGACCCAAAAAATCCGCGAAGACCCACAACAGTTCACGCTCATGCCGCACAGAAGAGGAGATGAAACTCAAGCAGTACACATACAGCAAGACAAGCATCCGCCGGGTGAAGAAACAGGTGAGTCTTCGCACCTCTCCTGAGGGGGAACGTCATGGGCGGACCGGCTCAGGGGGGAGGGGGGGACACCGACCCGAAATCGGCGATGCGTCGCCGATGCATCGGCGATCCATGGGCGCTTGGGGGTCGATGCATCCCCCCGGAACCCATCCCTCACTCACGTTGCCCCCTAGGTCACCCAACTTCGCGCCTCGTGCCCCGCGACGCGCGGTTCTCCTCGTGCCCTCGCGCCCCCGCGGCGCCCCCAATCGGAGCAGGGCAACCTTCCCTGCCCAGGCCGCGACGCGCGAGCCACGATGCTCTTCGCGCCCCTGCGGGTGCCCCAGGCCCCCGAGCACCCCTCCCCTCGGCTGCACGCAGGAACGGCCCCGGGCAAGAGCGACCGCCGGCGCGCGGCCTCCGCGGGGCCGCGGGCGAGGACAAGCCGACGCAGTCCGAACGCGCCAGCCAGTGCTGGCGGGGCTCCTCTGAGCCCGCACCCCGTGGTCACTCCGGCGAAGGCAGAGGAACAGCAGCTGCAGAAGCATAAACTTTTGGCGTGCCGCGCGGAGCGCCCATAGTTTCTGTTCATGCCGTTCTCCCTTCTCCAAAAAGGGCCACTCCTACGCGCAGCCGATCCCCGCGAGTCCCCGTCTCGGCGCTGGTGCCCTGCCTGGCCTGCCGCGTCGCGCGGCGCGGCGGCAAGGTCATGGCCTCGGGGGCGCGGCGCGGGGCAGGCAACGGACACCGCGACAGCTGGGCGAGGAGGCACCTGCATCCAGAGGGGGCTGGGTCGAGGCTCTGGGCCATCTCGTTGCGGGCCTACCTGGAGACCTCCCGATTGGGGTCCGAGTAGGTGGGTTCGAACTGCGACCCCCTCTACCTGGACCCCATTCGGAGGACTGACCACTCCACTCGGACCCGATCTACTCGGACCCCATCATCTGCGGCAAATTCCTCCGACCGTCGGGAAGAATTGTACCGCATCGCCGATGGCGATACACCGGCAGCACCTGGCGACGTCGGCGATGCATCGGCGACGTCGGCGTGGAGAGACTCGGGCTCCAGGTGGCAGGTTCAAGAAACCCTGAGCCCAAACCCTTTGCCATCTCTAAGGAGGCCGATGATTACGTCCGCCAGCTTCCGCCCGCCATCCGCCAGCGTCCGCCGGCGGAGGCGGCCTCGTTCTACGTCCGCCGCCTTCCGCCGAGGAAGTGATACCAACTCCTTCGATTCTCCAGGACCATGCCCTTTCTTGAATGCCTCACCTCGAGCCACGTCGCCAATGCATCGGCGATGCGGGGCAGCCCTCCGGCTTCCTTCATCTGCTCCGGCCCCATCTGGGACCCCATCTGGGAGGATCGGAGCGAGCGTGGAGGCACACAGGCCGCCAGAGGGGGCTGGACCGAGACTCTCTGGGCCATCGCGTCGAGGGCCTAACGACTTCTGTCCCTCGGCTCGCGCTGGACCTTCCACGAATTGTCCAAATCCCACCAGCCCTTTGGGCGTGAGTGGTTTAGAGAGCCCGCTCTGTCCTCAACCCCCCTTCTTCCCCTTCGGGGAGGGGTTTACCCCTCCCCCTACCCCCTCCCCCTGGACCTGGAGAGGGAGTCCCGAGCGTCGTCAGGGGAGTCTTTTTCGACTCCTGGGAGGGCCAAAAAACGACGACCCTCACGAGGATTCTGGCCCCGGGGGGGGGGGGAGGCAGTTTGGCGCCTGAACTCGTCGTTGAAGCAAAAAACATTGATTTTACTACGGTTTTGGCCCCATTTTGGCCTTCTGAGGGGACCGCGTTCCTCTTCCTTCATAGCAAAAACATTGATTTTACGGAGGTTTTGGGCTCATTTTGTCCTTCTCAGGGGGCAGCGCTCCTTTGCGCTTCAGAGGAGGTCGCAAGAGGCCCCAAGATGGCCCCAAGAGGCCCCCAGGAGGCTCCCAAGAAGCCTCCAAGAGGCCCCCAAGAGGCCCCCAAGAGGCCCCAAGAGGCCCCCAAGAGGTCCCCAAGAGGCCCCCAAGCGGCCCCCAGAGGCCCCACGAGGCCCCCAAGAGGCCCCCAAGAGGCCCCCAAGAGGCCCCCAAGAGGCCCCAAGAGGCTCCAAGAGGCCCCCAACAGGCCCCCTGGGGCCGCCAAGAGGCCCCCAAGACGCCCCAAAAGGGGACGAGGTGCCCGAACGCCTCACGCCACGAGGAGCCCGAACGACTCACACCAGGACGAGGGGCCCGAACGACTCACACCACGAAGAGCCCGAACGACTCACACCAGAAGGAGGGGCCCGAACGACTCACACCAGGACGAGGCGCCCGAACGACTCACACCACGAGGAGCCCGAACGACTCACACCACGACGAGGGCCCCGAACGACTCACACCACGAGGAGCCCGAACGAGTCACACCAGGAGGAGGGGCCCGAACGACTCACACCAGGACGAGGGGCCCGAACAACTCACACCACGAGAAGCCCGAACGACTCACACCAGGACGAAGAGCCCGAACGACTCACACCACGAAGAGCCCGAACGACTCACACCAGGAAGAAGGGCCCGAACGACTCACACCAGGACGAGAAACCCCAAACGACTCAAACCACGAGGAGCGCTTTCTCTCCCTCCTCCTCCGCCTCGTCCTTCTCCCGCTCCCACCACAAGGAGGATGTACAAGAAGGCGGGAGGAAGGAGGAACAGGGGAGATATGCGGGGGCAGGCGGAAACACGCCTGACAAACACGACTGTCGGCATGCTTCGCAAGAATTGCTGTTTTGAGATGGGCTGGTGGGGATACGCGAAGCGTAAAGAATTTGTCTGGACATCTCTAGCCTTGCCTAGATGTGCGTCCAGATGTACCTCCATTGGCTCTGACTCATCGGGCGTGATGCCTGCAAGCCGATGGGAGACAAGTCGTCAAGCCCTCCCCACGAGATCCGGCACCACGAAAACTGCAGCATCGCGAAGCATCACTGCCAGATCTGCGCAATCCTCCGAGCCTGATCGACATACGATGGCTACGGGTCCGACACGGTGTGAAAAGCTGCCACGCCCAGACCTCTCAAGGCCAGACGGGGGGGGGCCGGGGCCTGAGCTCCGGGCGATCTCGATTGCCCTCTCGGGGCCCCTGCGGAGGCATGGGATCCCTGCAGTGGCCTCGGGAGGCCTCCGCGGCCGTGTTCGGCCTCTCCGGGCCCCAGCAGGGGCCGTCGGGAGGCGAGCTCGTGAGGCTGGTGGTTCGAAGACATCGAGTCGAATAGACGGACTCCGCGGACAGCAAGGCTTCTGCCGCAAGCCGCTCGCTCGCGGCCCGTGCAATACCGCCCCGTCCCCACGAGCCGCTGTTTGTTGCGTCGGGGCCAGTAAGCCTACAGCACGTGCCGGCGACATGACATGTTGGCTACATCACGACTGTCCGAGGCACATCCTCGAGCCATTCAGGCGCTTCTCGACGCTCATTATGTAACTGTTATCATGTCGGCACCCACTGGGATATCAACTCATTGCATGTGAGTCGGGCAAAACAGATGAACACACGAAGCACGCAAGCAAGCCGTGCCGTAGCAACACACAAACCGTAACAGCACACAAACCTGCGAACCAGGTGCAGCTTGATATTGTGGAGGTTGGATCCACACAAGCACATGACGACGCGACGTGACGGACAGCCGAACTTTGTGGCACTGGCTGTAGTCAATGGTAGGCTGCCAAGATGTTTCCCTGATATAGGAAGAAAAAGAAGCAATTGCATTAACACACACCTTCGGAGCTCCGCGCGGATTTCCGGAATCGGCGCTGGACCCATCCCTGGCGCGCTCCGCACGCCAGGGGTGGGCCAAGGGCGCCAGAGGCGCTGCCAGGGGGTGCCTAGCACCACTCCAAGAAATTCGCGCGGACCTCCGAATATGTATGTTTTTGAAATCCTTCTCCTTTGAGAAAAACTGCCTTTATGTGTAGTGCACCCATGAGCTTCGGGCTCTTGGGGGGGAGGAGGAGGAGGAGGAGGAGGAGGAGGAGGAGGAGGAGGAGGAAGAGGAGGAGGAGGAGGAGGAGGAGGAGGAGGCGGAGGCGGAGGAGGAGGAGGAGGAGGAGGAGGAGGAGGAGCAGGATGAGGAGACGAAGGAGCAGGAGGAGAAGGAGGGTTAGAAACAGGACGATTAGAAGGAAAAGGGGAATGATGAAGAGAAGCTACGGATGAGGAGAAGGAGAAAGAGGAGAAGCAGGAGGAAGAGGAGGGGAAGGGGAGCAGCAGGAGGAGGAGGACGAGAAGGAGGAGGAGCAGGAGGAGAAGGAGGGGAGGACGACGACGAAGAGGAGACCTCTCTGAACCGCCTCACCGCTCCGCTTCCGCACCCTGCCCTCGAGCCAGCCCAGCACGGCGTGGCCGACGAAGTTTCTCCCGACCCTCCAGCATACATTCCCTCAGGCCTCCCCTGTCCTCGCTGCCCCACACAGACAAAGTGTATCGCATTCCTCTATTCGACCCGACCTCGCGGGAAGCAAAGGGGAAAGAGCACGAAGTGTGGCAGGATTGCAATTACAGGCTGCTGGGTCGCTCCTCTCTTTGCCTCTCTCTCTATATATAGATGTTTGTTTATCTCTCTCTCTCTCTCGTTCTCTCTACCGTTCTCTCTCTCTATCTCTCTCTCTCTCTCGTTCTCTCTACCGTTCTCTCTCTCTCTCTCTCCCTCTTTCCCAGGGACATGTCAGCGTCGCTACTGTAACCAGCCAGCCCGCAGAATGCGGCGCCCCGCAGGGAGCACTCCTGCATCTCGCTGGAGTGCCAGTGCAGGCTGCGCTCAAGCCAAGACAGCAGCTCGCCCACCGACCGCAACAGCGCGGCCTCCAGACCCACGGCCTCATCGGCCAGCACCTCGAGCGCACCCACAGCGCAGCGGCAGCCGAAGCAGCCCAGGAAGTCCACCACGGCGGTGCCGTCCGCGTGCGTGGCGTACACCACGCCCAGCTCGCCCGTGCCCGGCTCCCCAGGGCACCCCGAGGCAGAAGAACAAACAACTGCACGACCATAGACTTTCGGAGCTTCGCGCGGAGTTCTTGGATCGGCACTGGGACCCCCCCCGTCCCTGGCGCGCTGGGAACGCCAGGGTCGGCGCCAGAGGCGCCGCCACGTGGGCCCGTCACCGACCAAACAAAATGTATGTTCCCTGAGATCCGACGTTGCGGGAAAATCCTGGAGCCCATCTGTCTGCACCATGATTCGAGTCGGATCGATGTGTGATGCCCCCAGGTCCCGACGCCGGGCGACAGCGCCTGTTGTGAAAACGTTGCAGCGACCAGGTCCCAGGGCTTGCGCAGCTGTTTCTTCTTCGACGAGGAGCGGCGGCGAACGGCGGCGCCGGGACGCACGCGGTCGGCGTCCGCGGCAGCGAGGCGCGCCACGGGCAGGCCACGACGGTGGTCGGCCTCGCTGCCGGCTGGCGCGGCGTCCACGTCCGCCACGCCGCCGGGGCCCGCGGCGGCCAGCCGTACGCGCAGACCAGCCTCGCCGCGCCCGATCACCATGCCGACGTCCGTGCAGGCGCCCTCGGCACCCTTGGCGGCGACCCCGGGGGGGGGAAGTGCGAGGGCGCAGGCCTTCTCAGAAGGCGGCGGGGCTCCTCAGAAACCCGGCCTGACTTGTGAGAAGAAGCCGCCTCTGACCTCGGAGAAGGGTCAGCAAACTTCTCGGGAGGCCAGGGAGGCCTGCCGAGCCTTCGGAGAAGGCCCGC